AGTACAGGAGAAGACACAATGATTCCCTCTCCCCGCCCCAAAAAGAGACAAGAGAGAGAGAGAGAGAGAGAGAGAGAGAGAGAGAGATATTTGGTGTAAAAGAAAATAATTCTTCTTAAAAGAAAGCATCTGCCTGCTACTTTATTCTACATGCAGACTGAGTACCTGCTTATGTAAAACACAGTCCTAGGCACTTGGGGAGATGAGGGAGGCTGGAGAAGAGCAGAGAATAGACACAAAAGACAAAAAGACACCAGGCCAGCTTTTCAAGATCTCAGAATCTTGTAGATGACACTGTTGATAGCATCTCTTGCAAACTGCACATTTTAAAACATCGATTAAGCATTTACCTTTGAGAACACAGGCCCTGCTTACAACAGTCAGCATTGCAGGCAGCTTTCCTTGCACATGTGGGTTCTCCAGGTACTGACATATCAGGCAGCGCATTCCTTCTGTCACGTGAGTTGTATACACATACATGGTTGTCACAGATCAAATCAAGGCGATGATTTTTCCAAAGTTTCCACGTGGATGTTATATTAGTTATCTACTGTTGCAAAACAAATTACCCCAAATACAGACAGCTTAAAAACAACAAAGCTATCTGACATAGTTTCTACAGGTCAGGAACCCAGTAGCAGATTATCTGAGTAGTTCCGGCTCTTAATGCCTTACCCCCTTACTCCACTTCTCCTTTAAAAAGGAAATACAACAAGTATTTTGTTCACAATAGGAGAGTAACAGCGTTTTCTCAAAACAACATTTTTAAATGTTTTTCTCCCTCATACCTCAGGATTTGGTGGCAGTTGGAGGGTTCTGACGTTTAGAACTACACTAACACTTGGAGTGACTGAAAAGAAAGGCCCTCTGTATGCTTTGGTCTCCTTCACCAGCAGAGACCCTGGGGAGAATACTGTAGGTGTCCAGATGGACCTGGCCCAGGACTGGCCGGTGAGAACTAGATGGTCCTCAGCCACCCATCCTTCCTACCCTCCGCCACCTCCTGCCCCTACGTAATGATAAGGAAGCAGCAACTCCAAAACCAGTTAGGGAATCATAAGCAGATGTGGAATAACACAGACATTGTTTCACATTATGGTGGCATTTGCCAGCATAAAAATTATTATAACTTTTGCTGTGAATTGTTCTGTAAATTTTACAAAATATGCAAAAAGTGACATTTCAAGAGCTGAGATAATTTAGATTTATTGAAAAGTTGAGGCCCTTGACATTCAGCAAAAGAGAGTATATTTCTTTATCTAGCTTTGAGTTGCATGCGTCTTATTTTTGTTTTTGTTTTTTAGCTCCTTGTTTATCACTCATAGGTCAAAACTGGCCACATCTAAGCTTTGACCACTTAATCCAGTTTTATCCATAAATTTCTCCTGTGTCTCAGGCAGCAGATGTAATGTCTCTGAATCCCAGATTTCTTATCGGAGCATGCAGCTATCACGGCCTGCCTCAGAGAGTTCACAGAAAAGTCGTTGATTCCTAAAAAGCTCTCTAAAATGCTTCTTTGACATAGACTGGTTCCCACTGTCTTTATGTAGCTCCAGTCCTAAGGATACGTTTCTCATTACTCCACCCTCTCTTCACACTCCCCCCAACACACACATACATGTATGCGCACACAGGCGCGTACGCACACACCCCTTCTCTGTTGAGTGCCGCAGTCCTATCACCCATCAGGGTTCTGTCCCAAGCAGAACCTTCGTGAACATGGCGCTTCTCACCCGAGACACTTCGGACGCCTCCCCTCTGTCTGTGTACAGGACAGACACCATTGTTGGAGCTGGTATGGCCATAGCGCACACGCTGGCCTGAGCAAACATGGCCGTGGTGTGGGTGTCGAAAGAGTTTGTCACATGCTCCTTTGATAGGGACAGGGTGGCTCATGACCTCTGCCCCTTCTCAGAAGCAGATAGTCCTATGGGATTAAAAGAGAAATCTTCATAGGAATCAACCCCTTCTCAATGCCATCCCTCCACACTCTTGAAATAAAGCTTGGGGGCCAGTTTAGATTTTAAATCTCAGCTTCCATGGGGCAAAACCTGACTTTGACTTTGACAACTGCACACCAGCTGTCATGGGTTGAATTAATGCGGCCCTGTATATTTAGACAATTACTGTTGTAACACATGGGGGTGCTGTGTCCACTGCCTCATTCGGGGCACACAATGTTCCACCTCCAGAGCTCATGCGAAGCTTGTGTCTTGCATCCCCATTCAGCGGGAAGTACCCATGCTGTGGTCTCTAATGTGCATGCTAAGTGCTTGCTGTGCAGCCCCACACTGAGCACAATAACCATTTCTAAAGGTGCCTAAATTGCTCACTCTTCTACAGGTAGATGGCTCCTTCTTTACTGGGGTAGGGTATCAGAAGCCTAGCCCTGACCATATTTCACTTCTCTGGGAAGTTTCATTTGTCCTCAGCTATTGCAAACACGATCTTGCTGAACAGAGCTGAATTTTTAAGGCCGAGTTTGCGGTGTGGATTCTGATGGCAGCACGTTAGTTCAAGTCTCTGAGGACCAGGGCCAATAAATGTGAAAGGGACAACAGTAGATTGGCATAGTTTTCCATTTCCACCAGGATGAAAAACTGCTATAAATTAAGTCTAACCTTAAATGTATAATCTGTCCTTGGGAGGAAAAAAAAAGGATATAACATCCTCAAGCTCTCGGCATCCCTTACGAGAAAAAAAATTGGTTCTAAGGGTCTCTGATCTTGTGTTTTAGTAAAATAGAACTGCACGGCTGACTGACAGTTCTGATCTAAAGCATTTACGTTTAAGTTTTGATCTCTCTGCTTTTGATTAAAACTAATGAGCTCATTTAATTCAAAATGGGAATCTCTGATAAGAGAAATAAGGTTGATGTGATTGGATTAGAGGGGTAAATTAAACTCTTAGAGCAGAAGTTTGTGCTTATATAGTGTATTAAAAAGCTGTTGGCGTATTATGGCGTGTTAGATGATGAGAAAAATTTCATAGTAATTCATATTTAATCAGAAGAAATGAAAGTACTAAATATAACATGGCTCTGCTTTTCCCTCGAGTGATAAAAAGCTGTACATTTAAAATGACATCAGATCCATTCTCTCTAAAACAAAAAAAAAAAAGAAAATCTTAAGAGAGGGACATAAGAAAAGGACACTTGTCAGTGGTTCCATCACCCCAGAATAGACATGCGATAAATATAGGAAAATATAGTCACATTAAGACAGGGATGATACAGGAAGGCCGCAGACCACATATAGCAAGCTTTTTCTTATGACAGTAGCTCTCATTCTTCTTTCGTCTGAGCACAATGTTTAATATAAAAAAATAGAGATGTCTTTGCCTTCGAAATATGGAATATGTTATAAAATATACAATTTTACAGTTTTGGCTTATTTTCCTTTGTTTTCATAAACTATATATTTAATTCTTAAATCTTTACCCCCATCCAGAGAATATCAGTGCTATTTTGATATTCTAATTTGAGAATATCAGAATAAGGACTGCTCAAAAGAAATACTATTTGTTGTTGCAACTTTCTTTTGTTTTGGAATAAGAAAAACTTTAAAAGCACTATTTTAGAGGAATAAAATGAGAGTATTTATTGGGCTTAAACAGCCCAAAATTATTTTTTTGCAGGAAAAACAAATTTACATGATACCTTACAGCCGTGGGCAAACTATGGCCCATGGGCCAGATCCGGCCCGTTTGAAAAGAATAAAACTAAAAAAAAAAAAAAGACCATACCCTTTTATGTAATGATGTTTACTTTGAATTTATATTAGTTCACACAAACACTCCATCCATGCTTTTGTTCCGGCCCTCCCGTCCAGTTTTAAGAACCCATTGTGGCCCTTGAGTCAAAAAGTTTGCCCACCCCTGCCTTTGAAGCTTGACCTTAAAGAAAATAGACTTATGTTGCCTTCCAGTCTTATGAATACAGGCATTTTTTAGATCAGCAAGATGGCAAACTACCATTTTAAGTTTCATAAGTAAAAATGCATTGTGCTTAGTCTAAAAATATGTAAAGGAAAAGAGTGTCTTACTAAGGGAGGACACTGTTGTTTTCCCATCCCAGAAGCAGGGAAGGGGGAAACCCAGAGACTGTTTCCTATTCGGGAGAGGGCAGAGGACAGGCTGCCATTAGTGACAGGAATGGAAAGTTGGGATTGTGAGGAGCTGGTGCTTGTTTCTGTCTGTACATCCCACTCTCAGCCCTCTGTCTTCAGTCAGTTGAGAAGTTTTCATGCTTCCTGTTCCCCACAGTGAAGAAAACCAACTCAAGAATGCAAGGGCACTTGATGGTTCTGTGGTTCTCAGAACGCCCCAGGACAGGGGTGGGCAAACTTTTTGACTCGAGGGCCACAGTGGGTTCTTAAACTGGACCGGAGGCCCGGAACAAAAGCATGGATGGAGTGTTTGTGTGAACTAATATAAATTCAAAGTAAACATCATTACATAAAAGGGTATGGTCTTTTTTTTTTTTTTAGTTTTATTCATTTCAAACGCCGGATCCGGCCCGCGGGCCATAGTGTGCCCACGGCTGCCCCAGGAGGTCAATGATACAAGACAGGATTCTCAGCGAGAACAAGGAGCCAGCCATCCTTACCCTTCCTGGGAAGCAGCTCTGCCTGAGCCTTAGTTGATCCCGTCAGTCTGGGGAGTCTTTCTTTTTCATGACAGTTCTCTCCATGCACACGGGCCAACCCTCCAGATGTGCTGTCACTGCTTAGTTGCTATCAGACCTCACTTAGGGAGCTGCTGGGAATTAAAAGGCCCAAAAAACTCTTGCTAGAAGCGGGAATGAAGTTACTTTGGATAAATTAATTTTTCTTTTTTTATTTTCTGCCAAGTAAACATTTTCTAAATGAGGTAACTTGATTACTGGGCTCTTAGCACCTATCAGTCATTTCCTTTTAGTGAACTCAAGGACTGCAGCTGAGCAGTAGCTGTGAGGGGCTATGCAGAGATCTAAATCGTGTGTATGTCTTTGTATTCCTCAGTGGAGTCGACCAGTCCCAGCCTGCTAACCACTGACAACACCCTTGAGCGTTCCTTTTTCATCCGAATGAAATCTACTCTGACCAAACGCGGCGTGCACATCAAATCATCAGGATATAAGGTAAGCTGGGCTCCGGAAGTGGAAATAGCTCTGTCTTAGGTCAATCCTGGATTATTTGTATTGAGTTTCCCAACGGCATTGGGTCCGTATAAATGATACATGTGATCTTGAGCAACCCACAGGGTTCTTAGCTATCTTCCTGTCTCAAGGTAGGGCTTCGTTACACTTTAGGCCAGTGGTTCTCAACCTTCTGGCCCTTTAAATATAGTTCCTCATGTTGTGACCCAACCATAAAATTATTGTTTTTGCTACTTCATAACTGTAATGCTGCTACTGTTATGAATCATAATGTAAATATCTGATATGCAGGATGGTCTTAGGCAACCCCTGTGAAAGGGTCGTTCGACCGCCAAAGGGGTCGCGACCTACAGGTTGAGAACCGCTGCCTTAGACTCACTTCAGACATTACTGCTACACCAAATGCCTCAATATCAGGCCTTTTCTTAAAGCACTTGTGAATAACACACCAAGGGCCTCAGCACATGTTAGAAATTTACTTTGTCGGAGAAGGTGAGCCAAATATATATCAGTCCTTAAAATGAGAATTCTGTAATTGCTGCTTATCAGAATTCCACTTCTCCCACTTAGCTCTTCAAAGTCTCCCTTTCTCTTGAGAGAAAGACTGTCCATTTTAATATTTCAGACTGGCCACTGAAATTCATACATGTAAATACGAAAATCAGGTTGGACATCAGAAATCATATACCTTAGCACATAGAATACTCAGTATACAGGTTATATGTTCCTCACAACAATGAAGACCAAGTCTAGAGCTGTGATCTGCATTATCATATCATTTTAGTTACTATAGCGACATAAATTAAGACCTATGAAACTTATGAAATGCCTTTGGCAATGTGAATCATATCACACTAACCAACCTCTCAAACAATATTTATTACATGTGGAGGATAAACAGAAATAGACTGTACTATGAATGTGGCCCCACAACCTCTCCCTATTTCAGAGTGTAGGGCTTTTGACAGCTAAACTCTTTAGGGTGACCCCCGTCAGCGAGGGTAACAGTCCGTATTATCAGGCCTTAAAAACCTGATATAAGTCATCAAGACTCTGCATAAAAGTCAGAGTCAGACACTGTATTTGACATGAATTCTTCAGAGAATAAAAGACAGCAGGTTGGGAATCAGGCCCTTCCATGCACCACGGAACCTGAGCTGACTCGTCTAAAAGGCAGGGTCGGAGCAGCCATAACTTTTAACAGGGTCAGAGTGAAGGAGAGGGCCTGAGCGGCCACCTGCTGCTGCTTTCCC